CTAGGCCTCCATATGGCACAGCTAGGCTTTAAAACAAAATGGGGTCTCAGTGGCAGGCTGGTCCCTATGGAAAGGGAGTTCCAGAAATGTGACAAGGGTTTTACAGTTTCTTTGGGAAGATGAAGGAGCTTTGAGCAATTCTGTAATAAGCTTAAAAAGGGAGGATCTAATTGTGTTTGGCCTAGATAGGGCTGTCAGAATGACACAGAGGCAGGTGGCGAAGCCACAGGTACTTGACTTTCTCATCCCTTACACAGAAAGAGTTGTTGCCATTGTGGTAACTGCACAACACTGCAACCAGGAGACAAAGGATAGAGGGAAGGGAGGGAATGTGATAGGGACCGGAGCCCTGGAAAAACAGAGCTCAGGGTGAGGCTGAAAGGGCTGTGGCTGCACTGACAATTTACTCGGAACAATGTGTTTATAGATAACTGCTCTTTGCCCGGTGTGCAGAATTGGTGAACACAGACGGAAAGCCCATCGCTGCGACAAGCACTGCCTAGATGACTAGTGGGAGCCTGGCGTAGGGAGCACCTGGTGGATTCTTGCAAGAGACATGGTAGCAGCCTTGTCTCTAGATATGTCCTTCCCAAAGCCAGCCTCACCTACAACTCTACGTGACTTGGGGGAAGATCTCAGTGACTGCTTGAAGCTCTGGGAGCCTTTCCTGACCATCATTCCTGCACTTCAGCTGAGGACAATGTGAAAAACCACAAGAGTACAAAGAGCTTTGGCTTACAGCGCTGCCCATGGCCATAAAGCCCCTGATACTCATCTACAGGAATCACTCTCCGTTCCTAAGGGCATAATAACCCATATGTCCTCATTTTGCAGATGCCAAAAAAATGTACGCAAGCGGGCTCTTTGGTCAACATTGCTCAAGCAAGTAGCTCACCATCATCAGAAGTATCTGGATGCTGATGGTAACTATTGGGCTGTTGGGAAAGTCATGTCGCATTTTTGCAATGAAAAACAGAAAAAAATACATCATGATTTATCCAACAACCCAATACTTCGAGCACCTCTTGTAACTGCAGAAGTCAGACAGAAGTGGCTTGTAGTCATCTTTTGTTATCGGTATATATTGAGTATTACAATTTTAATACAGTTTTTTTCCTTTTTTAAAATGTGTATACATTTTGTTGGCATTCTCTTTGTATTTAATTCTTTCTTGGAGAGACAGGACATCTTAGCTAGCCTTTACCCACCCATCAGTATTTGCTGAAGACAAGAAAGGAATGAATTATTGTGAAGCAGGCAGTGTCTAAAACCGTTCCCCTCGTCTCTCTCCAGGTCCCACCTTCAGGACAAAAGAACTCTCCCCCATCTTCCTGAAGTGTTTCCCGCTGACTGCTCAGAGTTGCAGTTCTCCCCAGGAAATGCCCTCAACCTAATGGAGCTGCCTCATCTAAGGTTACCCTCATTACTGGGGCACCCTACACCCCATGGCTGGTCAGCTTGGTATTCAAAGGCCCAACCCCATTGCTTGAATTCAGGACGATGTTGAGGGCTATCCTTGCTCCAGAGCTCCTAGCAGGATCGGCGGAGACTGCATCACAGCTCAGCTCCTCCCTCAACAACCCTATTTCCAGCGTTTCTTCCCCCGAGAGCGAAAGCAGATCATCTCTGATGATCAGCAGAAGTAGTGGGCTTGAGTTGAGGGCCATGATGTAAGAAAAATACCCATCTCCGAGTACTAGAATCAGCTTCACTGGGGAAAGACGCTCTAGGAAACCAGCCTGACAGAAGACATAGAATTTTTAGATCTTTCAAATCATGCTGACATGCTGTCGCATAAAACATGACATGTGCAATGTCTTTTTGCGTGGGAAGAGGCAATATATTAATAATTGGATCCATGTACCTTAGAAATGTTTATAGTGTGAATTCACTGTAACGTAATGCTCCTGGTGTGTTGCCCTCATTAGGCTGTGAGTTCCCTGAAGGAAAGGAGGTCCGGCACATACAGGGCTCAATATTTGAAATGAACCCAAAGAGGTCCCTTATTCCCTGCTGATTCTTAAACATTGGTGGCCTTTCCAATAATCTGCCTTTGATGGCCTGAGCCTTTTCAAAAATGTCAGTGACATTTCTCGCCCTTCATTTAGCCACTCATTCACCACTTTAACAGCTGCCTTTTAGGTACCTCATCTGTGTCAGGCACTTGGGAGATCAAGATGCACAAGACAGACACAGTCCTTGTCTTCGTGGAACTTCCATTCTAGAAGGGACTGCAGCTAAATACTAGACACATTGCTGTGTGGTTATAGTTGTGGTAAGTTCCTCTGAGCGCATGCACACTGCACAAGGGGAGTTTACAAGAATAAGACCCAAGCTAATCTGGGAGTGCTCATCAAAGAATTATTTTGGGCAGTGACATTTCAGCTAAGGCTAAAGGGTGAGCAGAAGTCAGCCTGGAGCGAGGAGCAGAAGAAGGAATGCTCGGGGCTGGTGTGCACGTTGGGGACCTGGGTATGTGGGGGGTCGGGGGGTGGGGGGTATGGGACACGCAGAAGAGGCAGGGAGGTGGGAAGGCGACCACTCATGCAGAGCCATGCTAAGGGTTTTGGATTTCGATCCAGGGCAGAGGTGAGTCACCGAGAGCTTTTAAACGAGATACTGGCATGATCAGACTTACATTTTGGAAAGCAGTGCTGTGGTCCTGCACTCAATGGGCTAAGAGGGGATCTGGGAGACCAATTAAGGCAACGATGGTGGCTTGAGAGAGGGTGAATTTTGGAGATATTCAGAGGTGCAGTAGTGGGGGGTCTGGAACCTGAGTGGATGTGGAGAGCAAAGATATGAAGACAGCCACTTAGCAAAGCCACATCTGGGACCATTTCCCTCCGAGTAACTGTGAACTTCCAACTCGGACCTTCCCATGGTGGTGGAAGTGACACAATTCACCACCATAGTAGCGAGTACACATTTTGCGATGTTGGATACATGTCAGCTCCAGGAGAGCAGGGTGTCTACAAAGCTTAAATTAACACAGGGGTGGGACAATGATCAGAACAGCACACAGGGCACCAGAAGGCACCCTGTGTTGGCTCAGGCTCTATTCAGGCAGGAATGGGAGGCGAGGCAGCTGCGGGTTTGCTCAGGGAAGACAATCTTGCAGCACCGGTTAGAGTCAGGAGTCAGTGGGAGAACGGCAAGCTTTCAGTTCCAATTTTTCATTTTTCTTATTGTTTAGGAAATGATTCAGCTCTTGTCTCTCCTCAGTATCACTTGCAATTATGAAAGTTGAGAGAAGAGCAAGAATGAAATTCTACCTCGTGTCATCACAAAGCATAACCTTTAACAACCACCACATAAAACTTGCCCAGAAAATGCCACGCAGGTTCTAAAAGTTGCCTCTCTGTCACTCTGTAGTTATGGTGAGAGGAGCTATCTAGAATGTGATAAATATTAACATTTTGATAGCAGCTTCCTATTCCAAACACTGTACTTTCACTTGTCTTGAATCATGTAATACATATATTAATTCAACAAGTATTTACTGAACAAATTATATGTAACTGAAACGTATAAAACAATGCATACATAGCATGTATGAGTAAAGCTTCTAAAGGGGGAAAATCAATACGCGGGACACTATAGGAATTCTGCTGGAGCTGGCCAGGGAAAGAAAAAGGAAAATAAAGACACAGTAACTCAGGCCGGCCGAGTGACGCATTGGTTAGGAGTTGGCTTGGGACGCCAGCTCTGAGCAGCAGGGCCCCGGTTCAGATCCCACATGAGGGCCAGTGACGCTGCGCCCTCTACAGCTAAGATGGTGAACAACAGCTCAACCTGGAGCTGGGCTGCCAAGAGTCGCTGTCAACGGCATAAGCTGCAGCCCCGGCTGTGGTGGGCTGCCGTGAGCTACTGTGTGGCCGGCAGCTAGCATGAGCTGCCAGCAGCCAGTGTGAGCTGCCATGAGCCGCCGTCCAATGGCTGGCAAGTGACTGACTCTCCCGGGAAGAGCACAATGATAATACCAACATGGGCCAGTGAAGCGACGTCCTCCACAGCTAGACTGAAGAACAAAAGGACAGCAACTCGTCTGTTCCCCTTCCCCAACTCCCCAATGCTGTTCCCCTCCACCAATTCCCCAATAAAATCTTTTTAAAAAAAAAAAGATACAGTAACTCTTGGATTCCTTGTTAAACCAGTGGTGGCAGTGTGCAAAAGGCTCCAGAGGAGAATGCACAAATCTTAAAGGGTGAGGTGCCAGGAACCTCTACCTTAGGTCCTTCCTCTGAAAACTGCTCACAATAACTGACTTGTCCTGAGACCCTGAAAGGTCCCTTCCATTTCTGGGAGTCAGTCAATTTTACTGAGATTTGTCTTGTTTGCATATGACACATTGGGGCTCACATGTTGCCGGGGATCTGCCTCTCCGAAAGGCACAGTTGCTTTGGGGGTTGGCTGAAAGCCCCCAAGTGAAGGATCTGGCACAGACATCACAATATATAGAGATAGAGATGGAGATGGAGATGGAGATGGAGATGGAGATGAGATAGATGATATATAGGTGATATATAGATGATATAGATATATAGATATAGATGATATATTGTAGATATAGATATAGATATATGTATAATCACACTGTTTAACAAACAGAGACAAGGCTTTGCTTCTCTCTTGAACAAAACACAACTTCACTGGGACACTGCTGAGAAACAATAATTTCAACATGAGGCCTTCCCAAACTGCCAGAAAGCACATGATACAAGGATGTTGACAGAGGCACTGAAAAATTCTGTCACTCCTTGTTTTTAAGGACACTGCTGACACAAACAGGGTGAACCCTGGAGGTGCATTATAAATGCCCATCAGTCATGTAAAAATGACACCCCTCATGGATAATGAAGACGGAACTGGCCCCCCTGGGCTGCACAGTCCCCGGGAAGTGGCCTGAGGTGACCTGCCCTCCTTCTGGGGTGGGGATGCAGCCTGGGAAAGCACTTCTGGGAGCTGGACTCCCGTGAGAAGCCCCACAGCGTGATTACCTCTTAGAGCAAATTTCCAGAATGAGTCAGAGGGAAGCATCCCCAGTTTCTCCATTGCTTAGCAGGATTTTGGAATCAACTCGACTTCATCTGCTCTAGATGCCCAAACACCAAGACGGACGTTCATGACATGAACCTCTCCTGGGAGGCAGCCTCTTTCTGGGATTCAAAAATCTGAGGGGGAAAAAAAAATCAAAACAAAACCTAATATTTCCGGAGCTATATGTAGGCCAGGACTTAGCTTTCATAGGCCCATCTGCCTCCAGGACTGAATCTTATCTGTTCATTTCCATGGCAACAGCTGTGGGATTAGAATAGGATGAAGGCTTAGGAAAAGCTGCTGGAATTCAGTCCTAGACAAGTGAGGATTATTTAACTACACACTTGGGTTGCCATGGAAACAAAAATTTACAAATCAGGCAGGATTTTTGTAGCTCCGTAGCACAGTATTATAGTCTTCGGGCTGCTTCAACACCCCCTTCCCCCACCAATTCTATTTCCTCTCCCATCATGGGGGAAATACCCCACCGGTCACCATTTAATTATTCCCCAGGCACTTTCTCTTTTCATTTTTAAAGTAGAAATGTGGATAGACCACGCCCCAAATAATTGTTCTTAAAATGCTTGTCTATTTTATTTTTCTGCTCTGTAAAATGGGGATAGATGCAGTCTCTATATCGTTGGGTTGTTTTCAGAAGTGAATGAGCTAATTCTTAAGTGCTTGGGAGAGTGTGTAAGCCTAGTAAATACTTAATGCAGGGGTAACCGCTGTAACTCTTACTTTATACTGTTCAGAATAGCACAGTGTCAGAGTTGGAGCAGGCTGACAGAGAAAACACCTTAAGAAGCTTGCAGACCTGTTGTTTTGTTTGGCCTGCAGCCCGGCATGGCAGCAATAAGCTGTGACCAAGGAGAGAGGCGGCCACCCTGCCGCTGGGTTAAATGTGAGGTTCCCTACCTGCTGCACATGTGTCAGTACCTGGCTGGCCCCTGTAGGCATCTGAGGTCACAACCCTAAACCAACACCCTCATTTTAGAGCTGAGGAAATGCATGTCCAGAAAAATTAAGTGCTGCCCCTGACCCGGGAACCGATCAACTCCACTCCTCACTTATGAGTGTCAGAGTTGAGCCTCAAACCTGCATTTTGAGAATGGAGCCCGGAGCTTCATCTGATCAAAAGCTTAAGAACAAGGAGTATTTTCTCTTCATCCAGTGTCACTTCCGGGCCACTTATGTTAAAGAAATACCAATACTCTATTTGAACAGGGGCTGGGAGTCTGACCCCAGAAGAAGGTAATGTGATGAAGGGGGCTGGAATCAGGGACTCTTCCAATAGCAAAGGGAGTCATACGACTAGGCATGATCGGATAGTGTAAATGAGGTCAGCCTTAGGCGGGCTTGGATTTTTCTATTTCTATTCGGCCCTTTCTTAAGAGTGACAACCCTACATCACAGCTGAAACCACATCCAATTTAGTTGTATCAGACCATCTTCAAGAAAACCAAAAATGCCCGCAATGTTATTCTACCCACATTTTTAGTGGTTCCCTACAAATTCAAAAGTAGCTGTTCAGTATATATCCACCTCCGTGCCTCTCACCACCTCTCCACGCACACAAACGCTCAAAGCCTCACACACGGCTAATGCCACCTCTTGCCACTCCCATGCCCACCAGCCGCTTAAGTTGACACCATGACAGAAGCTGGCAGACGTGGTGACTTTTCTCAAGGTTAAGCTGGAATGCAAAGGGAGAACTAGGACCATAATCAGAGAATCACAAAGCCAGAACATGAGCTGACACGGCCCTTTCTTCTTGCACAGGACGATAATAGGTCATCTGCATGTCAATTAGGTCTCTAGTGCAAGTCATAGAGGCTGGCTGTCAAGGAGAACTGCAGGGAACAGAGCAAAGCAGGCACCTTCCCATGAGGAGGGTGGAGCGCTGAGAACAAAACATGTCCTAACAGCATCAGTATAGGATTTCTGCCTGGGCAGTACTTGCGTATGGTCAGGGCTTTGGGCTGGGACAGGATGGAACTTGTCTTAGGCCAGTCGAGCCTTTAAAACCCACATGGGCTCTCATATCCCCGGAGGATGAGACTGTATGTGGGGCACCATTTTGCAGGGCAATTGAGTCACATTTATCAACATCCAAAGGCATGTGACTTGTAGCCCATGAACACTTCCTAGTAATTATCCTGCACCAACACATGAAGATGTTTATTCTCATGTAGTTTGCAATAGCAAAACATGTCAAATAAAAACCACCCACATCTGGAGACAACTTAAATACCTCTTAATAGAGAACTGATTATATAAATACGGCATAAATATTCAACGAACGCTACGCTGCTGCTTAGATGTGACTGGTCTTACATGAAAAGATTCCCCAAAATACACTACGAAATAAGACAAACAAGATGCAGAATAGAGTGTGTTCCGATTTGTGTAAAAATATGGGCACCATATGGATACAAGCTATGAATGTGTAATTTCTAAAGAGGCCCATAAGAAATTGTTGATAGCAGTTACATCTGAGAGTGGGGCAGTGGTTTGTGGAGAAGTGGAAGCACTTATTCCTCATTTTCTACTTTTCAGTACTCATTGTAATTCTTAAACTGTGCACATGTATTCCTTTTTAATAAAAAGTTGTCTATTTGAAATAAGGGGATGGACTGTACTGGTGCACGAGACCAATAAAAGGTAGGGGAGGAAAAAGAGATAAAAAAGAATAGGAAAGAAAGACCTAATTTCATTGGCAGGAGTGAAATGATCTTTATAGGATCTTTGTAAAAAAAAAAAATTTAACAGCTTGGTTGACATATCATTTGCATACCATAAAATTCCATACCATTTAAAGTGTAGAATTCCATGGTTTTTAAGCATATTTCTAGAATTATGCAATCGTCACCATAATCTAACTTGAGAACATTTCATCTCCTCAACAGAAACTTCTTAACCATTCACACTCACACCCCACTTCCCATCACCTGCATCCCTGTTCCTTGGCAAACACTAATTTGCTGCCTGTCTCTATAGATTTGCCAGTTCTGGACATTTCGTATCAATGGAATCATACAGTTTAGGGTCTTTGGTGCTGGCCTCTTGCACCTAGTATAAGGTTTTCAAACATGAGATCTACTTTCTGATTATCCCAAAGTGTGTACCAGTGGCCCCCCAGCCCCAGAAAATACTCCATTGAAAGGAAAGACAATGTTTTCACAATCAGGCAACCTTGGGAAATGCTGCGTGCTCTGCACACACATTGCAGCCTGAAGACATCTCAGAAGATGTCCCGCTGCAGAGAAGCCTGCTCAGCCTGGCTGAAATCAGCAATCCCAGTCATATTTCAGTCCCAGTCTAGGATAAAGAGCCCCTCCCATGTGCTGAGCGCAGAGAGATGCCCCAGACGAGAGACTCACAGCAGATTGCAGAGATGGAAATTTGGAAAGGGAAGGTGAACCCTCTAGTCATGCAAAAGGTTCATTTCATTGCAAAATTTTCCAACAGAAGTCGAGTTTGAAAGATCCTGTGGGCAGTTGGCTGCCTCCCAATAGTCCTAACCTAAACAGTCCTCTGTTGAATAAACAGAGCGTCTCCTCCCTGCATACAGCCTGTGGAGCCTCAGACACGTCAGCAGTGTGCTATCATCGTCTTCACAGAGATGGTTCCTAGACAAAGGCTGGAAGGGTTTTTGGAAGCCGAGCCAAGCCTTTTGCATCCCTCGGCTGAACAAACTGTGGGTGGGTGCCCTTCGGCAATCCTGTGGCAGAGACACCCATTAAAATGCCAGTCAGCTTGTCTCTTGGCTGAGGTGTTCCAACATGGTGTGTCTGAGATCCAAGACCTAAATATGATTGGGAAAGGGTGACTTCAACCAGGCTGTGCAGGTTTCTTTGCAGAGGGACATCTCAGAGTCTTCAGTTTCCATGATCTGTACAGAGCACACAGCGGTTCCCAAGATTATTTGGCCCTGGCATCCTTTAGTCTAGACCTAAAACAATTAAAGCACTGAGATTGACTAGCTAACTAGCTATTCATTTAGGCAGGGGCCGTTTGGACAAAGCACCTCTGATCAGTCATTTGAGTCCTGGGTTTGCACAAAAGATACCTATCTTTTAGCAAGAGAGGAGGAGAAATCAGGGTAATGCAAATGTGTCGACTAATGCTATAGTTGTTCGCCAATGAAGCAGTGGGTAAAAGCCAAAGTTTTGGAACCAGACAGCCCCAAGTTCAAGTCCCAGCTCTGCCACTGAATGAGTCATCTGAGACCTCTGCGCCTCCTTGTTCTCATTGAAAAAAGGGGCCTAACGCTGCTAGGGTTGTTCTGAGAATTCAAGAAGGTGATGCATCTAATGCACTTAGTATTTGTCTGTTACACAATGAGCCTTAAACAAATAACAGTTATAATTAATCAGTATTATTCTGTTGACATGGAATAAATTATAGCAGAGTCTGGAGCCTCGTAGCCTCTAAGGCTTATACTTTATAGACACAATGGCCAAGGAAGGAAGCAGGTGTGCCATTTGTCAGGACCTATCTATCGGCCCTTCATTCTGGAACATTTACTGACCAGCTACTATACGCCAGGTACTTTCCTAAATATTGTGGATGTAGCAATGAACAAAACAGGCAAAAATTACTGCTCTCAGAAACCTTACAATCCAGTGGAGGAGGAAAGGCATAAAAAAACAACAAACCTTAATAAGTAAAACATATAGCATGCCAGATGGTGGTAAGAACGATGCTGAAAATAAATCCAAGATGCGGAAGTGTGCATGTTCAAGTTTGGAGGAGGGTTTGTAATTTTAAACAGGGTGGTCAGTGCCAAAAAACTCTCTGTGGAGGTGACTAAGGATTTGTACCATTCACAGAATATCCTGCCTGCTACCCCAAATGGCACCTACAACTCAAAGCAGAAATTAGGAGCCAGAAGGTGGGTATGTGGGGGACACTGCCAGGCAGTGTCCCTGTAAGCCACCTAGTTGATGCTTCCCACTAGAGTTTTTGTTTTGTTTTGTTTGCTGTGCACTGTGGGTTGGTCCCTTTAG